TAGGGGCCGGGACCCTGGCTGTGGCCCCCTCCAGCTGGGGTGGTACGGAGCACCCGCTGCCTTTTCCAGATGGGCCCCACCTCCCGCACCAGCAGCCCGGTCCCTTGCCTGTCCACGGTGGGCATTTCATACTGCCCGGCTGGACACAGAACCCCTGCACCCAGGGAGACTTCGCCTGGCTCCCCCCCGACCGTGACAGGCTGCCACTCTCCAGCTCACCCCATGCTCGCTGCCCGCAGCCTCTCAGGCCAGCCCAGCTGCATCGCCTTGCTAACTAGAAGAAAACCGTGCCCTTTTGATCTGGCTGGCTTGTGCCAGCTTCAGCTGTCCCCGTTGCTGTGCGCACAGGAGCGGGCAGCCACGCTTCACCAGCAGCATGCTGCTCTCAGGGAAGCGGCCACCCCTCTCCCGATCCTCTCTCCATCTGGCTCTGCAGACTGGTGCCTCCTTCTGCCGGTCCCCACGACAGCTTGTGCCTGGCTGCACCAGGAGCCCCACGTGCGAAAAACCTGATGGTGCTGGTCAGCGTTCCCGACTGCCACCCCACCAGGACAGCAACTCCCTCCCGAGCTGCAGCGCTCCTGCGCCGCTGGCGTCTCCTGGCCAGGCATCACACCAGCTCTGCCACCTCTCCTGGTCACCAGGCACGCTTGGAGGTGCAGCACTCAGGGCCAACACTGTTTTTCTCACCCGCGTGCCTTTTTGGTCAGTCCAGAGCACGAGCAACCAACTCGTGGCTCTGCCTCCCGCACAGCAGCGGGCACCGTGAGACCCAGAGACTCCAGCTCGGGCTTACCCCCTGCCACAGGACTGGCCTGCCCTCTGCCCTGCCCTACATCCGTGGTTCTCAATTAGAACAGCCATGGAGACGTGCCACAGGCATCCCAGGAAGGCAGCTGGAGGAGTTCTGCCCTGCTGAACCAAAACAGCAAGTGCCCAGCCACGCTAACAACTGATACGAATACAAGCGGATTGTAACAAGATCCTCCTTCTCTCTGGTAAGCCATTAACCTTTCAGATGACAGCCCTGCAAACTAAATGACTGAACAATTCCCAGGGTCAGCGCAAATCTACATTTTCAAAACCTGACATCAACAAGTAAAAGTTGTGACTGAATCCTGGTCTCTCCGAGAGGAAGATTAAACGCCTGTGACATATCATCTGCAATCAGACTGCTCCATTTCCCAAAGTATCCGTCACAGATTGATAACATCCACGCAAAAAGTTAAGTGCAATTATGTCTGTCACTGTAAAACACACTTCAGCAGCACTGACTGACATCTTGCTTGCAGCTGACAAATTGTGAGAGGGCTGTTTGAATGATGGTGGTAGAGACTCCTGCAGCACCTCGGGGAGGGATGCGAAACTCACTCCCGAACCACAGAAGCCACACGGGCTCATAAAGCACTGCGGCTGTGATGGGAGCCATCACGTAGGCAGCTGCAAGGCAAAATGGTTTGAGGTTGGCTCTGCGTGCATTCACAGAAGTCAGGGACTTGCTCCCAAAAGGCTGGAACTGGACTCGTGAAGAGGAGAACATCACACACAAATCCTGCTCTAGCCTACTCTAACAGAGCTTGAGGCATGGAGGGGCTGAGCCCTACGACACTGCTCAAATGCTCGTGACATGTACTTTTCTCCAAGTCCCCAGACCATGCACTGGCAATTGCCGATCCACAGGCTGGGTGAAGTAAAAGTGTGCAAAGGGCCAGGTGAGTTACCTGTTACTAGCACCTCTTTTGGGGAAGGATTACCTTCTTGCTTCCCAAAGCAATGTCACCATGCAGCACCAGAGAGCGCAGGCCTTGAACACAGAGCAGAGGTACTGAGGAAAGTTACATTAAACTCCCACTGGTGACTCAAGTCAACAAAAGCAGTTCTTTACTAGCAGCCTTCTAGGATGGGAAACTGCAAGTGCATTTCTCCAGGCTGCCATTAGTGCCAAGAAGCTGTCGCAGAATTTGGAGAGAAAAGACAGTAAAGCAGCTTGATGCCTTGCACAATGGCACAGTTGTGTTCCACAGCACAGCACGCCATCCTCACTGGGATGGCGAGGGCTGCCGTTAGAGACCATTAAGCCAGATGCCTGCAGTAGGAAACACCAAGGAGAAGAAATGGCTGAAAAATAACATATGCAGTCCAGCTCAAATCTCAAACAAAGCCTCCCCTTGTGCAGTTCTGACTGCGAGCCATAACCCCGCGACACAAGCAGCGGAAGCAGCATTGCTGACGTGCAGCAAGCTGTGGGGGTCAAACCTCTGACACATGACAAAACTCTGATGTGCCGCCATCCACTGCCATCAGTAACTTACATCATGGATCTGAGGAGGAAACGTGACTGGTGCAGAAATAAACATCTCCCACAGTAAAAAGTCCTTCCATTTAGGAAGGTTTTGCTGTGCAGAAGCTCACTGGTGTGTTTTACTGGTTTAGTTTATAACCAGTGTTAGCAATTGTTCTGAAGCACCCAAGCATACCCTCTTGATTTAAAATTATTTTATAATGCTAGACAGCAACTGAAGAGAATAGCTTAAACAGGCTGGTCAGCCTAACAGCAGAATCTCCACAGTGCTCTATTTGGCACTGCTCACCAATTTTCTCTTAGCACTCATGGCAGCATCAGAATAACTCGCTGCTGTTCCTGTCAGGATATATCCACACGGAATAAAGCAGCAAACTGGCTACCAGTGTAATCTCATCTCTCCATGGTGATGTAAAAATAAGAGGTTACTTGTGACTACAATCTTCCACAAACATTAAGTGTTGAGTAACTTACCACATTGCTGATAAAGTATTAGAAAAGGCTTTCAAGTAGTATGTGTTCCCCGTAATAATGAAATATTTGCAGGATGCACCTTTATATACATTTCTATTTCTTAAAAATTAGATAATATAATAAATAATCGGAGTAAAAAAAAAAAACAGACATGAAAGATGCTTTGAATGATCAGGCTGGTGGTGTAAAAGTTACCTGTAAATCACACACAGGGCATGAGAGTGGAGCTGGCTACAGACAGGTGGTTTTTACTAGGAGGCATTAATGTAACATTCAATTATTCCACTGCATACTGGCTGTTTTAACTCAGCCAAATTAGAATACATTTTATATTGACTATTTTGACATTTGCTTTATTTGGCAAGTAAAACAAAACTGATCCAATTTCCTTGCAGCCATTGTAAACCATAAACTGTACAACAAGAGGTTATAAAATATATAAGCCTTGTAAACACTTCTTTTCAGACTGTCGCTGATGCTCTGAGCTCTAATTTTGGCCCTGTTCCCAATAGCTCTGACGCTGCTCTGTAGCCTTCCCTGCTCGGCCATAAAGTGACCCTTCCACGCTTAGTGATTAAGGACCGCCATTGACATTCTCTTGCTATGATAATTTTTTCTCCTTATTGTGGAAATCTGCCCAGGCAGGAATTTCTTGCAAACAGAAAATGAAGATCTGTGCTCTAAAATCAAGGTATCTTTTTCTCTGATCTCGCATGGCCTGTGCTAAGCAAGTAGCTTACGTCCAGTGAAGCTTCAAAACAACGTATCAGCTCCTGGTGGGACAGGCTGAAATCTCCAGAAGACTGCTGGCTTTTCATCTCTTTTGCCTCCATCTCTGTTTGAAAAGCAAGACAGCATCTCTGCCTGCAGCACACCTGACAGTACAGGACAGCAAGCAGTGTGCCATGGCATGGCAGGTGACTGAGCAAAACTCTCAGTGAAGGAAACATCCAAATGCTTTGGAGAGTTCAAAGAGCCACCGCAAGACAGTAGGTTTAAGTCTGGGTCACGGGTGAAGGCTCAAATGTAGACACCTGCCTTAAAAAGATACCCAATAGCTTTTTTGGGAACAGTTTACAGCAGTTTAAAAGTGCCACTCTCTGAAATGACCTGTAAATCAAGAGTCCGAAGGACATGAGTATTTTCCACCCATACGATACAAGGACCTTTGTATACAAACCAACCCCCCTGGAATTCCCCTCCTCTGTCTCCTTTGAAATTCTAGCTCTCAACAGTTATTGCAATACTGTAAACGTATCTGCAGTATACCAAATGCCTAGTGCAAAAATACATGTTTGCTTAATTAAGCAAAAGCCCAAAGGGACCCATAGAGAATGTGCTGTCCCCTGGCAATAGCCTGGCCTGGAGTTCAGTCGATGAGCCTCATCAGTAGGAGCCCATCTCACACTGGATGCTGTGCTTTCATAGCAAATTCCAGGAGTACGAAGCACTCAGTTTAGCCTCTGCCTGTGTTGGTTTGTTGCTTAACAACACTCTGCTTTGTCCAGAGAAATCCAGCAAGTAAGCTGTCAATGCAGGACTACTATTATATGCAAGTATACACACAAGTGCATACATTTATACACACAAATACTGTGTATAACACAGGGAAAACAACCTGGACAGACACTGCCAGTGTCTGCCCAGAAGTGCTGCTCCTGTCAGTCACTGCAGGTTGAGCAGTCTGCTCTGCATGCCCAATGTCAGCTGCAAGACTGGAGCACAGTAGTTGGGTCCAAGAAAAGAAAAAACACGGACAGTACTTCAAACCATGAGTGGACTGATTCTGGAGAATGAGCAAAACAAAACTTGTCTCCCTATGCATTAAAATCTGTATGAACGCTTCTCCCTCCCTTTGGACAAGGAGAGAAATCGACTTGGCTATAGTTCTGGCCCACCCTCCAGGGGTGACCCACGTGTACTTGTTGAAAACTACAATATCCCGCACAGTTTAAAGAAAAAAAAGGTGTAGTTTGCTGTTTCCCTTCCTCTGCAGGCTTCTTCTTTCTTCTGACTTCTTCACCCATATGCTTTTATACAACGACAGCCAAAAGAACTTCCAGTAGGCAAATACTTGAAAGAACGACACATTTCCTCATTATCAGATCATGCCACGTAATCATTCATACTGACGTGGTACCCTGGTCTTGATTCCACCAGGCAATGTTAGTAACAATACACCATGCAGCATCAAGCAGAAGGGGCTGGAAAGCAGAAATCTTACCTTGGCAAGTTAGGAGCTGGTGTCGAAGACGGTACTTGGGAAGGAGGAGTCGCAGGCTGCGAAGATTCATGGTTGCGTGGAACTCTGCCCATCCGGTACCAAATGCCCATGTTGTTCAACTCCCTATGTAATCAACACAGAAGACATTAATGCTACAAGCAAATGCTGCACACGTGCACAAGTATCAGGCACTGACGTGTTTCACAAACACCTTGGTTAGTGAGAACCAGTCTAATTGAAAAAAAAAAAAAGGGGGGGGTAGTTAATTCCTACATCAAACTCACTAACACTTGTACTTATGTAGACTTTTCTAATGACAAGCTTCAGCTCTTACAAAACTACTACTTAGTAATTATAGGAAAACAGGGTGCTTAGCCTTGGTACAATTGAATTTATGACAACAGCTTCTGGAGCGAGGGGCACTTACCCTATGAACGTGTACTGAGGAGGGGCTTGTTTAGATCTACCCAGGATTCGGATATCACAGATCGCTGCCTCTGTAGAATCTCGAGGGATGAATTTAATGCACAGCCTCTTCTTTCTGAAAGCTATTTCTTCTGCAAAAACAACCCAGGACACAGGGTGGTTTTTATGCAAGATTAGGGTATAAATGTTATTTATTGTCTCTCCAGATATTAGGCAGATAATTATGGCAGGAACTGGAGCCAAAGAACAGATATATGTCAACAAACCAGACAGTGCAGTGCCATTCAGTGACTGGAGAAATTTTCTATCAGGAGCTCTCTGTACACTGTGTGAGATTTGTTATTAGGCACTGCGATAAACCAATACTCCCTACTACCCTCTGCAGAGAAGATAAGACATCATGTATGCCACAGAGTACTGCACCACGGAACAGAAATGGCAGGTGATTTTTCCACTTACACATACTTCTCACATTTGCTTTCTCTTTCCAAGATAATGTTTGCCTTACCAGCCTGGATAGTCGTATCTAAATATTCCTCCTGCAAGCATTGCCTCTAGGAACATACCTGGAAGCTGCTGACACAACCGGTCAGTTTATTCTGCCAAGTGCTTCCAAACAGCCAACCAAACCGAGAGGAGGAGCAGGCAGAAAAACAGACTGCCATGCAGAGTGGCTAACAGTAAAAGCTGTCTGCCCAAATCTCACGCATCCTAAGTGTTAATGACCTCTCCTGACTCAGTCAGCAAGCACTGAAATGATACTCCCACCGTGTTTACCCTGGTATCTTTGTAGGGATAAACCAGATTTACAAAGCAGTAATTGCTAGGACCTCCTACAGGGCAGCTGTGCTGCACTGACCTGTGTTCAGAGGGTGAGTGAATTTGCTGCACGGCCCTTTCCTGCTATGCATCGCAGAGCAATTTCACTTTTTTCCACGTTATCCATCAAGAAAAACTCAAGCCCATCAGAGTTAAGGCTTATCTGTATGATGAATTCATGTATATGCACGCTGTCTGTCTGCATGCAGATACAATCCACATCCAGTTATGGGTCTGTCGCATGACAATGGGTGGTACCAGCACACAGATACAGATCTGTGGTGCTTGGAAGCCATTGCTCTGTCTCACCCTAGAGTCCACGACAGTCTCAATGTGAGCAAGGTGAGGTTTCTATTTGTGAATGCAGGCACTTGAAAGACATGACAGAAGTCCATTGATAAACTGAAACTCTAAAGTGCAGCCACTGAACCAAAATCTGGAAACAACCACCAACTGCAAACAAGTGCCTGCAAAATCAAAACCCTTCAGTTTAATATGAATAAATATCCTCCAGCTTAAAAATATGCTCTCACTTCAACAGATGGCAAGCAGCCCTGTCTCTGTAGGCTCCTCCTGTTTCGTAATCCGCACCTTGGAAAAAGCAATCCATCCTGGCCTCTGAAATTTGCTGTCGCACCAGCACCAATAACTGTACAGACAGTGCGAGGTGTGTCACAATACAGCATCTGTGCATGCAGCTTTGCAGTTACAGTGCTGCTTTTTAGAGATGTTAAATACCTGTATCCCTGAAGTCTAGTCTTCTCCTGCTGTGGAAAACTGGGCTTTTATTTGAAGTGCCTAAAACTGATTTGAGGAGCCCAGGGTTTAAGGTTTCCACATCTGAAAATTTTCTCAGAACCTAGTAAGGAGTACTATATTTAATATACTTACTATAAAGTCAACCGTCAGAGAAGAGCACAGAAACATGTAAAACCACAAATTTAACTCTGAACAAAATCAGTGCCTCTTATTTGACTTTCACAGTAAGTACAAAGCTGACTATTTGCTTTTTTGTCTTTGGTCTCTTTCACACTTGGCTAGAGTCTGCAGTCTGTAGCAAACTTGGTTTAGGAGCTGGATTCATTAATTACACATGCTTAACCAGAGTTAATTTTAAGTAAACATATTATAAACAGTCAATCGACATGTGTTCGTTCATGCTAATGGAGGCAGGGATATGCACCACCTCATTAATACAGACAGTGCCTCTGCTTTAAAGATTGCATGGGTCGCAATCCAATGCATTTTAAATTAATTACAAAGTCCCCTTCCACCTTTCCACCAGGACTTTCACAAAAATTACAGCAGCACACAGTAAGTGTCCAGCACTCCCAAGGGCGAGCAGGATAAGCTGACGACTCTCCCCTGCGCCACACGTGCCCAGGAATTCTCCAGGGAAAGGGGGTGACCCAGGGGAATGGGAAATGGGCTGCAGAGCCTTTCACTTCCAGGTCACAGGTTCAAATCAGAACCAGGTCAGTAGTGACTGAAAAACCATCCTCATCTGCTGCAGACCCAGATGAATTATTCCCTGCAAAGCAAGCTCATATAACTCCTTTCTACTCATAACTAGGCTGGATTTCATTACTGACGAGCACTGGTACCAGCCCTGCTCTTGAGCAGTAGCTGTACACACGGCACCAGCGCGTGGTGTCCTGCAGCCCTTCCACACTCAGCTCCCACGGGGCTCGTCCCCAGCCTCCTCCGTACTGCAAGTCGAAAGCACTTGATGCCTGCTGCAGAGCAGAGTGCCGCGACCAGACATGGCTCCAGCTGCTGCTGCCATGAGTCTCAGGGGATCCAAATACACTGTTCAGGAACTGCTGACTTAAATGTTGCAGCGAAGCCATTTCTGCCTTGCAGAAATCAGGATGGTATTTTCCCTGGATGTTCCACTTGTGCCTTCTCTCAGCAAGCGCAAACATACCCCACCATCCTCAGCGCTACCTGCCAGGACACGGGCCTTCATTTGTTCACAGAGGGAGGCGTAAAGCCAGCGTGCATGACCCAGCACCACGAGCACATGCCCTTCCTTTCCGTATCCATTTGTGAACATCCCCCAGCACAGCAGTTCTGCTCCCACTAGGCCTAGTCCACCCTTGCAAAATGAAAGAATAAACAACTCCTTCCAGCCCCAGAGCTGTGCTGCTCTAGCAGGCGAACTGGTGACAGTCAGGCAGCAGTATTAAAAAGCCTGAAGAGTACAGGAAAACCGAAGGCTGTTTCATTGCAGTCCAGAGCTGCCCCCAAACATGTACATGTAACCCCAGAGAGCAGCAGTGCTGAGAGCGTCCCTTGCCTGGGACACAGCCCTCCACCACCCGACCACACAGGCACCGGTGGAGCAGCTGCTCCCAAGACACGGGACTGAAGCACAGATGCCAACTTACGTGTATCGATGGTCTCCTGAATGGGGATGAAGCCCACGGGTAAAGTGTCCTTGATATCAATGAGCTTCATATCAACCAAGACGTTGCCTAAATGACTCTTTGGAGAGAGAAAAGAAACAGTTGACTATGACAATGTCACCACATTCAAACCCAGCTTTTCTCACCTGCTGAACCCCAAGACGCCTTGTCATTGTATCTGACCACCAACTTTAAAAATGGCAAGGAGGTACCAAGCCAACACTTGCAACTGTCCCTGCTGCAGGAACTACATAATGATTGACTAGGAGATACCAGACAACTTTCAGCATTTACAGATTCTTACATCTCACCCACTGCCATACTTCTGGATCCTCGGAAGCACAACCAAATTCTTCCCTTTGGAAACACGGCAGTTCAAAGTATTACCTCCACTAACTCATCCACTGAACAGGTCACCTTAGTTCTCACAGAGTCTACATCTACAATAGCAACATGACGTTTCTGTGACAGTAACAGCAGAAAGCATTATGGGAAGATGGTTCATGCAGACACAGCCAAAGTTATTATGTGCATTAGCTAATTAGTACTGAATAGACATGATTCCAGCTCCAAACGCAGGCGCACTCCAGAAGAGCAGGCCATTTGGAATGAAGAACTTCATTTGGAGTCCATATGAATTCTGAACTGATGCCTCGTCCTATTAATCAAGGCTTGAAGAGCTCAAAACACAATTCAGAATGACAGCCTCCACAATTGTTTAGAGACCAGATTTTCTTTGCAGTTCTCGTTAAAGCCAGCATTGCTGCCAATAATCTGGATTCACGTATGGAAGAAAAAACACACTTTAGTTACTGCACAGCCTTTATAAACAGAAATGCAATACAGAACAATTAAAATTTCATCCTAAGCCATCAAACCATGTCAGTGTGTTTTACTGTTACTGGTTGCTCAGTACCTCCTTTAGTTTTTATCTGGCAGAGCATTTCAGGCAAACCTCTACTCTCTGATTATTACACTGAACTATTTTAAAACATATTTAAATTTGCAGCCTCTGAAATAAGGGGAGATCAGGCCTGAGATTATTTTTTGGAGGTTCTGCATTTCATGGTCAACTCCTCACCAGGAGGGCCACCACCCCTGCAGCCCTGTCCCACCACACACAAGCGTGGCACATGTCCTTTGCTTACGCAAAGTGGCCGAGGCCGGGCAGTCCCCACATGCCTCTGTCCCTCCTTTGGCCAGGGCATCTCAAAGCAAGCAATGCAGGATGCTGCAAAGTCTGAATGTATCAGTTAATGTGGTCCTGGCACAGCAAATGGTAGATGAAGTAGTTGCTGCTGACTCATCTTTCATGTTTTATTTATCCAAACTGTCTGGCTGTGTTACATCAGTGTGCAACTTTCAGCTGAACCAACGATCATTCCTCCATCAACAGCAGACAGGTAGGAGAGATGCCTCTGATAAGTTCGTTAGCTGCTGAAACACTGGTAGTCAGCACTGATGCTCTGCCATATACACGGGAGAAAAGGGCACAAAGCCTCCCCGTTTGTGAGATGTACCATTCGGGGCCTCCTCACCATGACACTCAAATACCAGCAACATCCTCATAATCTGTCAAATATTGTAAGCTGTTGAGAATGATGGTTCTGATAAAGAGGCACTACAGACTGTCTCCATTATAAACCAGGTATCTGAGGTGCATTAACTCTGCTAACTACAACATGTTCTTCAGGACAAATAGTTCCCAGTGCTTTGTTAAAAACAAAAAAACCCTGAGCAGTAAAACTTCCAACCCAGAGCGCAGCAACACATCAGTGTCCAGGCGAGAGTAGCCTCTCCCTCCCAGATGAGGGCTCTAGGTCACTGCTACAGGGAGGACCGAGGCCTTTTAACCCTCAGAGGTCCCCAGTCGGGCAGCACATTGTACCCCTGTGTGGCCGGAGAGTACTGAGAGAGGAGGGAAAACTCTTGCTGGGCTAACGAGGGACAAGGGTGCTGCTCCCTGCACAAGCGGAGAAGGCTGTTCCCCCACTAGTCCGGTCCCCTCCTCCCCCCAGCCCATCAGCCCACTTCCAGTCTTCAGCACTCCTGGTCCTCCGGCTGCAGGATCAGCTCTGTGTGCTTCCCAGGGGCTGGCAGACTGGCGCCAGCATCTACTGGTCTGGTCTCTGCCTCGCAAAAAGGCCCCCCTCGCACACGCGAAGCCTATGGCCTCAAGCAGCACGAGCGTACATTCTGTCTCGCATGGGCAGAGGGGTGTCCTTGGGAGGGAGCCTGCTCAGCTGGCCAGAGGAGGCTGACCAGCCTTGGGAAATCCACCCTCTGAGAAGAGAGTGCGTTCCCGCCATCCATCGGGTACAGCTGTGGTGAACCACAGGAGCACTGGCTCCACACCGGTGCCCAAACACCGGCAGCACTGACCACAGGCTGCTTCCCAGGAAGCTCTGCCAGAAGCGCCCGCAGGTCTAACATACCACTGACGCAGGGCTCGAGACAACCCGTGCACGGGACGCAGCGAATCGCGCCACACCTCGCACAGCAGGCTGCTGTGCAGCTGGGACCAGCAGTCTTTCCCCCACGCTGCCTTTAATTCACTCCTCATCAATATGAGGAACATATTCCCAAACCATGCCGAGCAGAGGATTCATGCCAAAAGCCCAACAGGCACCGACTGAGGGTATTTACACTGTCTCTGGTAGCCAGCAGTTGCTACTATCCTGTAATTATTTCTGACAACCTCGCATTTAAGGTAGCCACAGATAAACTTAATACTCAAATCATCACAAATCTGTTTAATACCCTCCCCGCCTATTCTGGGGCTATTATTCCTGCTCCTGCGGGTACTCCAGGATGAAAAGCACAATTATTGTTCATCCACCCCAGGAAGCGGTATTTCCCATAGCTTTGGAGCTTTATTTTAATCTAGAGGCAGGCAGGGAAGTGGATGGAATAAAGGTCAAATGCTGGAAATTGGCAGCCCCCGGCTTTCCTGTCAGGACCTGTGATCAGCCTCTGAAGTCGCAGTTGCTTTTCTGTTCCCGTCATTGGTGAAAGCACGAGTACAAAATGGTATCTCCATATCCTGACAACTGAGTCACTGTGAATATCCAAAACACGATGAAAAGCAGGATTACCCACTAGATGGAGTGCATTCATTGTAGAATTAAATAGATCCTCCAGAAAAGAGGAAGTTTTCACACTAGTCTCAACCAAAAACACAGTAGAAGGCATCAGGCTCTCAGTGCACATGGTCTCCTCTCCTCCACGGAAGATGTGGGCAGACAACTGCCACTAATCAGAAATTAACTTATGCTTAATAGCCATACCAGAAGATTACAAGAATACGGTAGCATATGCACAACATGGGCAAATTTTCAAGAATAAGCACGAAAAACAACAAAGAAATAAAAGCTAATCCTGCAAGAAAATATCTATGATGCACCTGGATTCAGAAACTAACATTTCCTTCATCAACACTACCTGCAGCATTTGCTTCTCTAGGTAATCAGAGCTAGAAATTCATCAGGATCATGAGCATGCAACGCCCATTGCTACAGCAGGAAACTAGCGTGATGGGGTTACTGAAATGCAAGCATTCCCTTTTCTGCTGCTTTTATTGCAGATTTTGCCAACGATTTCTTTCCATGAAGAACATAGACAAAATGCAAATATCTAGCCATTGCAGTTTGCCTCCTGACTCACCCAAACCCAGTGAAATGCCTGCTTGAATTATAATTGCCTCCATAAAATGAATCATCTTATGGGTAAGAGCATACCAGGCACAGATGCAAATCATGCAGACACTCAGCAAACGGACTTACATTTTCTTTTGAAAATGATCTCGTGAAGCACAGGTATCGTGTGACCTTGGATTTAAATAAGCCATCTTTCCAGAGGTCAGCATCCAAGCCATCTGCTGTTTGTGCAACCTGGAAAGAAGAGACAGAGGGAGAGAGGAGACATGTGAGCCAAGATAAAGTTAATGTATGTGCAGTATTTCTTCCTCAGACCTCTTCTAATTAACAGTAGCCCGAACTCTCACAGCATCTCATTAGTTTTTTCATGAGGTGCAGTGCAAAGAACTTTCAAGAGGAGGTATAAAAAGAAGTTCTAAAAACGCTGTCTCTCGGGAGTCCGTTGATTAAAGATGCTCTGACAAAGGCTATTCTAATGAGGAGAGAGCAACTTTGGTTACAGTCTCCAAACAATAGTTTGGAAAAGTCAGCATATCGAGGCTCTCATTACCACCCTACACGCAAGGGTGCACTGGGGCAAGCTGTGAGGAGCGTTCTGTGTACACAAAGCACAGAAACTGCCCAATCTCAGTATTATTTTCACAGAAAAGCCAGAGGAATTCTGGCTTCCAGGCCAAAAAGCTGCTTCCAGCAGGTGGGGAAAGCCCTGGTCACTCGCAGACTTTAGCAGCAGTACTGCGCGTGAGGACGCACCCTGCAAACATCCCTCTCCAGTGCAACCCTGCATCCAGTCGAATCAGTGGCACACACCACACGGAGGGCAAAGGAAACAGACCCCAGGCCCTCCACCAAAGAGACAGAGGCACGTGCAGGAAGAGAAAGGCAGGAGAAGATCTCACTTTCGAGTGGATTCAGGGAGTGGGCACGAGGCAGCACCATGCCAGGGAAAGGACTCTGCTCTATTAGCAGCTGGGCACTCACCCTGCATGGTGCAAGCTGCTAAGAGCCCCTGCCCCAAAAGGTTTGTTGTCGAGTAAGACAGGAGACAAGAAGGCAAACACAAAGAGAAGGGTAGCAGAAATAAGATTACCCCACCAGACTAATGCCCAACTGATGGCTCCCAACAGGAGACTCTAGCATGGTCTGAAGCTACGCAGAAGCACAGCTGAACTTCTGCCTAATGCCTCTCAGATGGGGGCAAACCACTCCACCGCAGCTCTTCCAAGTCTAATCTTATTGAATTGAGTAAGATCTTGGCCCCAGAGCAGTCTGATAACAAAGAGCTGACATTTGTTGTTACTGTTTGCACCCATGTTTTGTCGAGCAGAGACTCTGTGCAGGGAGCAAGAGATGTGTGCTGACAAGACCCTCCAATTATCCGAAGTGTGGGAGAGAAAAGCGTGTTTATTGTCTGATCAGCAAAGGGAGCAAAGTGCATTGGCTGCTCTTCGCATTTCGGCAACTGCTGTTCACAAGCCCCTGCTCAGCTCAAGCCCTTGTACAACACACACAGCTTTTCTGGTCAGGCTTCTGCAAAGAAACACGCATCATTTTTAAACAGTAAAATTTTAAAACAGGATTTTGGTGGGATTTTTTATTTCTTTATTATTCCTTGAATTCAACTCTTTCCTATAGTTTAGGAATATATAAAAATCCACGTGCATCTCCCTCCCCTATGGGTAAGTCAGTCATGGTGAAAAGATATTCAGAAAACAGACTGCTTAGAAAAACTGTTGGCATATAGGGACACTTAGCTTGAACTCCAGCCCTTGTCAGAAACAGTCTGAGGGACTACAACCAGATTTAATCACTTCATTAATTAATATGGTTCGAGTTCTACGTTTCAGTTTTTCTTGTGTTAGCCAGTTTTGTTTTCTTTGTTCCCACATTACAAGATGCTCAAAACTCAACAGGCAGTGATAGACCCAGTCTGCAACTGTAAAATTGGTGCTATACAAGTGGCTGTCAAATGCACTTTTTATCTAACCTCCTCTGTAAGCTTTGGGAACTTTACATTACTTACAACAATACCAAATAATTTTTGAGGTGGAAGTACATCACTTCAGTTGATATCTCCTCTACAACTCACTGCCCAGGGCACAGCTGGATCACACCTGGCTGAGACATCTGAAGGGCCCCCATGCTGGCGGGCTGGCACTGCCTCCCCTCCAGAGGAAGGGAGGCCCGGCACTGCTGTACTCTGACTTAAGGGTGAAAAAAACCCAAAAACTCCAACCCACACCACAAACCCTTTTAGGAACAACCCTGCCATTCTAACCCATCACATATCTAGTAGAAAGACCCAAGCTGGTTCTGCAGGGAGCCACGTGGCGAGGCACCCGACCCATCTCCAGGGAGGTGCAGCAGTCCAGGCTGACCCCGCACTCCCCTTCCCGCTCCTGCCCCTGCCTGATGGCCGGCCTGGGCAGCGCAGGAGCCGGGCACTGCTGGCAGCTGATGGCAGGACCTGGGTCCTTGGCTCCCAGGAGCCAGCAGTGCCAGGCCTGGCCCACAGCGCTGCCCCACAGGGACAGGGTCCCTGCTGAGCAGCCACTCAGGCCCCTCCGATGCTTCCCCACCCAGCTGAGCTGCCGGCTGCTGCCCAGCTGCCTGCCTCGGCAGCACCAGGCAGGCTGCACCGTGCCACTTGCGGAGCCTCACAGCAGGAGGTGAGCAGCGGAGCAAAAAGCAGCCAGGGGTAAGAGCTTGCCAGCCCTGGGGCCCCATGGGAATGCCAGCAAAACCATTCCTGCTTCTGCCGAAATGCAACAGTCACAGGCGACATCCCCAGCACTTAACACTAAGTGCTCTTGCCTCCGCATCATCCTGCTGAAGACTTTTTCCAAGCCTGGAGAACGTAAGCATGCATTAACTTGTCAGAAAACTCATGGGGAAAGAAAACAGAGCAATATAAACAGGAAACTTCTTACATCATCTGCTGGGCTCCTGCAGGCAAGGAGGATCCCCACCACCTCTCAAAGCAGAGCTGTGCCTGAGCAGCGCTGCTTCATGATGGCAGCGTGCCCTCGGTGGGGCAACACGGGAAGAGAGCCAACCTGGAGAGGCCGAGGCAAACCTGTCCAGCGGGACAGGCACTGTGCAGCCCCAGCTCACCAAGTCCTCTGCTTGGCTAAGAGGCGAGGAACGTGCAGGATGGAAGACACAGCACCCAGCACTGGGCACCCAGCGCCCCAGGCACAAGGAATGGCCCTTCTCCTCATGGAGCTGGGGGAAGACACTCCTCAAGCATGTGCTGCAAACAGATGGACTTGATGGAGTGACACCCAGTAAGGAAGGTGTCCCCCAGCCCACCCCTCCAAGTGCGGCGTGATCTACTGCCCAGCAGTCAGTATGGGGTTGCTGCTACCACAGGACAGGCTTTTGGCAAACAGGCCCACTAAACCGCCTGGCCCATGGGGTAGGTCTGCCCCACCGGTGGTGTGCAGGGCCATCCCTGCTCCAGCACGGCCCTGGGTGAGCAGCATGCTCGGATTCTTGCCCCAGAGCAAACCCCACCGTGGAGCTGGCATTCAGCCCACAGCAAGGAACGAGGCTGCACAGGAACCACACCTCTCTCCTACCCCAGGCTCCCTGCCTCCCACCTCTCCTCCCTTTCCTCCCCGCCCATACACTCAGTCTTGCCAGTTTGGGCAGATTTTCAGGAATCTAAGTTCAGACACACTCTGTACATTTTGGCAAAATTAAGTCTTTGGTGCTTCAGCTGTTAAAAGACCTGGCTAGTCATTACAAGCGTCAGTAGCTGTTTTCTAAGCAGACACAAAGGCAATGGAGATTTCTGAGTAATTAAACTACTGAAGGAAAAAGATCTCTGACCCATTCGCCAAGACTCCCCCAGGTCTGGTACCCTGGGATCTGCCACACTGTCACCTCCAGCCGGGCGATACGCCGAACCCTGGGGCTCCATGCGAACCTGGGAAACAGACCAGGACATCCCCTGGGCATTTAACTTACACCTGGGCTGAAAGCACCCATGCCTTTGCTTGTTTGTTTGAAAAAGGAGCAAAGGAAAAAGGAAGGAAAATACGGCAATGGCTGTTTATTGGAGAAAGGGCATGAGTGAAAGGGAAACTGGGTAAAGCCTATAAATAACATAGCTGTCTCAGAAAAAGAGAACTGGGTACTTCATCACAAAACTCAAAACCATCAGCGAAACTACATGATGTCAAATTCATCACTAATAAGAGGAAATACTTTCCCATGCAACTCTGAATCTACCTGTGGAACTGAATGCTGCAGGATGCTGTAGCAAAAGGCAAAGCAATCAGATCCCTAAGGGGACTACAACAACATCCCAAGATAAACTGGTGTTAACGCTTCCCAAAAGATGAGAGTGGTTCTCCTTTTCAGGGTGCAGGTTGAACCTCTAACTATTAGGGCTTTAGGGAGTACACTCCTAAGATGGAGCTGCCACAGATGCCTTCATCAAGGCTTTACACCCTGAAGCAACAATCAGCTGTCAGTGTCTCATTAGGGAAATTGCATATCTGGAGAAACACAGAGCCGAGACTGCCCAAGTCCACATACTGCCCACGTCTCAGAATATGACTTTCTCCACTGCACTGAGAAGTGCACTTCTGCATACTCGGCTTCGTGCCTTCAGATAGGACAGACTGGGTTCCAGAGAGGTCACGGGGAAGTGGCAACCCCGCATACCACACACTGCTCCAGAGCCCTGACTCACGCAGAGAAGCCACCTTCCCAGACATCCAGGCAAGAAAAGCACAGCCCTGTGTGCCACTGTCCCAAGGGTTTGGGCACCAAGGCATCCTGTCGCATCAGGGTGGCACCCAGAGTGGCCCCATCACAGCAGGTGCTGACTCAGGACACAGACTGAGGCTTATAGCTTACAGGCACAGAGCCAGACTGCTGATTTGTCATACACAAGGCTGAAGGAGTAAGCGTGTGGTAGCCATGCTTGGGGTAAGACAACTGCAGACAGCAGGCACTTCCCCATGGCCTGCAGCGGGGACTGCTGGCCCCAGGGTCAGAGAAGAGCTCCTTGTAAACAGAGAGGAAGGCAGAAGAACCAGAGGAAAGGCAGTCTCCTCTCTGTGCCCCCTAGGAGAGAGCGACCCACATTCACAAGCATTATTACAACGCCACCGTAATTGGATTAAGCCACAGGAAGACTCTTTTATCTTGTTTAGTTTAAACTGTTAGCGTTGAAGCTCTCTATTAAACCACAGACAGGCTATCTGGGGTGAGCGCTCTCTCTGCCCAGTCATTTAGGCAGAATGCAATTCTGTTATCACAACTCTCACATTGTTCTGTGCTCCTTTATCAGGGCAAGCAGCTAATTACACAGCCTGGCTCACACAGGTAATCAGCACTCAGAAAAATGCAGTAAATGCAAAAACCTTCCAGGTCTTTAAGAGGCCTTTTCACAATTCCATCCCTCGTGCCCTTACTTCAGCCTGATCCATCTTCTTCCTTCTCACACTGAACGGGGTATGCAATGATCCAGAGCTGAAAAGGTGTGAGCAAAGCCTCAAGTCAACTGGTTTCTACTCCCGACCACACAAGCTGTGCGACTCTGGAAACTCAAGATGTGACGTAGTGCAGTTGGAGCAGGATACATAGAAAGGTGAGCAGATGGACTACGGGCCAAATCTTTCCATATAGAGCTCTACAAGGTCAGTATTTTATGGTATTTCACTATTTGGGACACTAATCTATGGGGAGAAAAATCATGCTATTGGTTACACAGCAGCTAATCCAACAAACAAGCAGCTGTTAAACAGTGACCTCCCTTTATCCATTCACATATTCATCTCTGCTGTATCCAGCTGCCTCTTCCTGCTGCCCAGCCTCCTGCGAAGCTTAGTTTAGAGGTTTGCATTCTGTCCATCAAAATCATCCTTGTAATTTCAGCTGGATGCAAAACTCTTTGCCTCCCATTCTGGAGCTTCTCATCATCATTGTGCAGTGCTGATATGTGGGATTAAACAGCTGATGCGGGATTCATTTATTCAGAGATATAATTTGTGCAATACTTAGGACTCCTTCAGGATGAATGTTACTAGGATTATTAAATTTGCATGCCACAGTGGCCAGCTGTTTCTGAAAACCCCTCCTCCAGGTAATTACACTCCTCTGGAGTGGCACAGATGAAGTAGCACGATTGTACCCACAAACCTCCACTGAGGGAAAGCACTAAGTGCTGTGTGCTGAGAGGTGGGCAGCTGGATATCAAATTACTTCTAAAACCACACTTCTGAAGGCAAGCCCTCTCTGGAAGAGATGCTGTTCCCAGCGAAGTAAAGCCTCATTAGTGCAGAACCAAAGCATTAGCAACAGCAGCTGAAACAGCTCTACTTACTACATCATAACCTGTTGGTGCTCGGTTCCGGGATGCAACCACACCAACACCCGTGATGGGATCCATTGGCAAGTCAGGCAAGGCATCTGAGAGGTCTCGCACTTCAGGCATTATGGACTGATCCTGAAAGAAAGGAGCAGAATTAAAGGGCTGCTCAGCAGCACACCCCAGCAGAAGACAGAGAGCATGGAGAGCCTGCATGCATGCCACAGTGCCTGTGCTGACACACCACAGACTGCCAAGTTAAACACAGGATTAGGCCAGACACACCTTCTGCACTTTCATTTGCTTTTGATAAGAGGGTACATTTGTGCAATACCCAAAAGGTTTGGAATTTGGGCCAGCAGCCTCTTCTGAGATTAATTTTGTTGTTTCCAGGATACTTAGCATGGGCTGGTCTCCATCTAGCAATGATGGGAAAACCCAAGCTCATTCCCTTCCCTCCCAAACAGAGAGCAAATTTCATCCCTGAGTCAGGCTGATTGAAGCAGCTCTGCCATTTTAAGCAGCAAGAAATCTGCTACTAATGGCTTCATTGGGAGGCTCCCCATCCACTATGGGTGTTAGACACGCTGGGGGTTCCTCCATGAGTCTTCAGTCCCATCACACCCTCCTGAACCAGACCATTTTCATGTAGCAGCACAGATGTATCTGGCGCCGTATGCAAAACCGCGCTTACTGCAGAGAGCCTTAACACCAGGGGAACACAGATGAAGCAGCACGGAATAGTCTGATGCAAAGCAGACAGAGGCCTTAAAGAGGCCTGAGCATCTTCCAGGAGAAGGGGGACATTACCGAGTACTTCAGGGGAGGGAGATACGCAAAGGGGGATAGAAGCAGGTAGGAACAACCAATTTTGGAGAGATGCTGTTGCAGGAAGTAGGAGGAGAGGACAAGAGAGCTGCTGAAACAACTCGCTGAGGAGGAGGATGGGGAAAGGTGCCACTGCCTCAGCATGTGGTCTCCTGCAGAGGCAGCCAGTTAGGGCAAGTCTTCTCCAGCTTTCAGGCAGGAATGCCCCAGGAAACCACCCCCCACGCACCCCGAGATAACAGGGCAGGCTTTGTGTAAACAAGCGTCACTGCTGCGCAGCCAGACAAGCCGTGAACCAGAGCTACCTAATTCAATTCCCTCCGCAGAGCAATTAAACCCCAGCATTTCTAGGCCGTGTAGATGGCTGGTTACTTACTGCTTCTAGAAAAGGCAGAGGTGAATGCTGGTGCCAGTGGGACCTGGGTTTACACTTCACAATGCCCAGTCTGAACAAACATCGTGCTGCAGGCAATAAAAAAGAGCAAGTCTGGGCCCTATGTAAATAATAATAATGTCACATGAACAGCCAGACTACCTGAGGAGTCCAAAACAACAGAAGCTAGTGACCAGTAATGGTGAAAACACTATTGCCGATGAACCAAACCCAGGAGAGAGCTCTGCTTCAGCACCTAGACAAGCATCCAACAGGCACAGAGCAAAGCGGACCCACTTTGCTCCCTATGCAGTTTAAGCCTCCAAAGCACGACTAGAAGAGCACCCTGAGCCGTAGGGGCTCACCCTCCCCTCCCAATGGGCTCCCTGTCCTCAGGGCGAGCGAGGAGCTGGGGACTCTGCTGCAGGAACGCTGGTGGCACCCAGCACAGCCCAAACAAACTCTGCACCGCTGCCTGCGCTGCTCCACCGGCTCATCCAGATGCCTCGCAAAATAATCCAGAACCCACTGCCTAAAACGCGCAGTACCGAGCAAACATAATGTGAATTTAACAGAGAACTTACAATCTGTTCCTCAGACAGATGCACATTTTCTGAAACTTTTCCAAGTCACTCTCAATAATGTGATGACTTGTTATTACACATCGGGAGGAGCTGGGAGATGATGAACACTGATATGAGCTTCTCTTAGGCCATTTTGAACTGAAATCCAGGTAAGTGATGATATTCCCCAGCGCACTAAGAACACCACACGGCAGGTTCCAGCACAGCGGCAGCTGCACCACGGGGAAGCAGATCCGCTCCCCCAGCGCCTCCGGCCTCCACCAAACCCGCTGTGACAAAGCGCTGGGTTCACTCCACAGAGGTGGGGGGAGCAGGGGCAGCCAGGATGGCACGGAAACCTCACCTGAGGGGGGGAAAGAGGGGCTGAAACGCGCAGTACCGAGCAAACATAATGTGAATTTAACAGAGAACTTACAATCTGTTCCTCAGACAGATGCACATTTTCTGAAACTTTTCCAAGTCACTCTCAATAATGTGATGACTTGTTATTACACATCGGGAGGAGCTGGGAGATGATGAACACTGATATGAGCTTCTCTTAGGCCATTTTGAACTGAAATCCAGGTAAGTGATGATATTCCCCAGCGCACTAAGAACACCACACGGCAGGTTCCAGCACAGCGGCAGCTGCACCACGGGGAAGCAGATCCGCTCCCCCAGCGCCTCCGGCCTCCACCAAACCCGCTGTGACAAAGCGCTGGGTTCACTCCACAGAGGTGGGGGGAGCAGGGGCAGCCAGGATGGCACGGAAACCTCACCTGAGGGGGGGAAGCAGAGGGGCTGTGCCCCTCCCTTTCAGGCCCTGAGAGAGCCCAGGCAGGCAGGAAGCCCCTGGCACTCCCTCCTCTTCTGCAGTGGTGAGGGCAGGGATGGGGCTAATGCAGGCCAGGGACCTGCTGCCGAATGCTGCCCAGGCCCTGGCTCACCATGCTGGGGCCTGCTGCAGGGAGGCCCAGCTGTCCCCGGCAGGAACCCGGTCGGCCTGGGAGAGGCCAAGGACGGGGCCCTGGGGGTCCCTGGCACCACCGCAGGAGGCAGGGTGGGTGCCTCTACCCGCAGCGTGGTGCAGCTGGGCAGACCCCCTCAGCCTGACGGCACCCCATCTCGGCAGGAGGAAGAAGGGCACCTTTGTTGGAGCCGTTTGCGGTCCCGCTCAGCACGGCAGGGGGGAGGGGAAACGGTATCAATCCTCACTTTGTGCCGGCTCACACAAAGCCCCTCTATGGTGACCGCAGCGGCTAAGCACAGAGAATGGGACTTTCCGCCTCGAGAGGGCGGGAGGTGGAAGCCACGGGGTGAGACGCGATGTGGCACCGGTGCAGGGCCTGGAGCAGCACCCCACACCAGCGAGGGCCGGGCCGAGCTCCCCGCGCCCGCCACCACTGCGCAGCACCCAGCGAGCCTGGCACCTTCCTCTGCCCGGCACTCAGACTGTGGCCCGTGCCCACAGCCTGGGGGGGGGACAGGTGGGCAAAGCATCTGCCCATGAAACGCACCTCCGACTCTCCGGGCAGCGCGGCACACCCTGCCCTGCAGCGGGAGGGCTGGGGCAGCATTGCTCGAAGGTGGCTGGGCCTGCACCCGGCCACCGCAGCATAGCGAGGGGTACGGGCGAGGGGTGCCGGCCAGTCTCCACTGTGGCAGGCCAGCTGCTCAGGGCAGCTTCCCGCTGTGCGGGTGGCATCAAGCATGCATCTGGAACAGATACGGAGCAGCAGCAATCGGTTTGCACACGGATAAATGTTTTTGTGAACTCTGCACAGGTCAGAGGGGAGTCTCTGGCTGGGCAATCATACAGACGATTAGTTACATTGCACTTCTCCCCCAGGGCGTCTGCAAAGTTTGGTTTCTTTTCTATCGTGCCTTTGAACTTAAAAATAAAAAACAAACAGTGAAAGAACAGATTAAATTAAGGAGCAGGATTCTATAAATACTCCTATTAGACAGCTTGTTATTTTAATGAAGTTCTCTTTAAACAACACGAGTTTGACCTATACGCCCGCCTAACATCATGGTGGCCACGAACTCAAACCAGCTGACCAGGAGATGGCCTTTCACCATTCTGCGCTAAGCTGCACTTGGTGAGCTCTGCCGAAGGCCCCGCGCCGCTCCGCCCGCTGCAGGGTTATTCCGGGAACAGCCCAAAACAATTAGAACATTTTTCCCATTAGTTGGGAGCATGCTCCCTGGAGGTCGTTCTCAACTGCAGGGCCACATCCAGCCCCCAGCACGCCCAGGCAGTGAAGGGAAGCCGGATGCGAGCCCTGGGGCAGGAAGAAGCCTCAAAACACTGCGGGGCTGCTCAGACAAAGCCAGCAGGGAAAGGATGTGCCTCCACCAGAGAAAGTCACCATCCAGCCTGCCGGCACCAGTCCCGAGTAGAGCGTGGCAGAGTGAGGCGGGATGGCTGCAGGACAAGATGCAGAGAACAGGCTTTGGCACGCAGCCGCCACGCTGCTGGCTTTATCCTGAATGCTTCCCGCCCCCTCGAACCAGCCATGCCACGGGGCAGGAGGCACAGGGGTCCCAGGGATCTTGATGTCCAACTGCAGGAGAGGCCTTCAGGGACTCTGCCAGCCTCTGCCACAGCCTTCTTCCCTCTGCTCTCAGCCAAGGCCCTGACTTATCTTCTTTACCTCCTCCGGCCCACGGTTTGGGGGACCACTTGCTCTGTGTGGCACCAACCCAGGCCCAGCCCAGCACAGCCAGACCCAAACTGGCCCCAATAGGCACCTCTGCAGGCGCATGGCACAGATCCCAGCCCGATCCCTCAGCAGTGCAGCAAGGCCCCTTGCTTCAACCCAGCAGAGATGGCTCTGCGGGCTGCAGCGCATAGAACAGGTAGCAGAGACCGGCACAGGGGTGCCCTGCAGGCAGGCTCCAGGCAGAGCCACCGACCAGGCTTCCAGAAGTCTTTGCACCAGGGAGTTCGGGGACAGTGCACAAGTGGTGCTCTGTCCTGTCCTGCCACCCCCAACTCCAGAGGCTGCCAGCCCGCAGGGCAAGCCACCAGGTACAGGCAGGGGAGAAGAGCAGAGGAGGTGCAGGCAGCAGGCAGTGACATTTAGTCAGAAAGCCACACACATACAGCCCAGCCAGGGTCTCGGTTTGATCTGTCACCACACAACGCTCAGCAGTGCTCTGCTCTGGGTCCTCCTGCTGCGAAGTACCTACTTCCAACACCGAGTCTGCTCCCTAGGAGATATGTAACACGGGGCCCGTGTTGCCCTAGCAGTGCGAAGCCCTCTGCCGACTGGCTCTGCAGCTCCAGATGGCTGCCTCAGCACCCCAAGCCTCGCACCCTGTGGAGATGGCAAAGCTGAGGGCAGTTCATCACCCCAGAGCAGGCTGTCTTGCAGCCCATGCCCGCAGTCACACACATCTCCCCTTCTCCCAGCACCCGAGACTGTCTGTTTACGTCCTTTTTGCTCGCTCTCACCCATTTTCTTGCTAGCTCATCTCCACTTTTATTAGTTTATCCTAGGCATACTTTTCTGCTGGCTTCACTGTCCGTTTCAAGTATTCCACTGAGGTGACTGACCACACACACTGCTGGGCTTTGGCTGGGACACACATATAGCAAAGGAATATATTTTCAGAAATGAATGTATTATTGCAAGTTTGTAGAGCATTTTTTCCCTCTCGGTGTTCCTTTTCAACAAGTTAGGCAAGTTCAAGAGCTGGTAGGTACATGATCAGATCAGGCCTGACGATGTATTTGCTACAGAAGCATCACACTGGCAGCAAAGCAGGTCAAGTTCTGAAGTTAAATAGCAGGGGATTTGGAGAGAGAATGGTCTTATTGTTTCTTCCTTCAACTACAAGCCCTGCACTTTGACATTGACTTGCTCTTCCCACGGGCAGAGAAGTATGAGCTAAGGCAAAACTGGAAAAAAATTATCAACTACCTCAGTGCATTCCTGCACCCTGCAGGAAATAATCCCATCAAACCAAAGCAGACACGCTGCTAAAACCGTCGCTCAGGTTATCGCGCCATCATTTTGAAAAGGCAGTAGGTACTGCTGGCACAACGCAGGTTGCTTAGAGGTTACATTGACGTACTCCCCCACATGCCCGGTCCTCCCACCGTGTCCGGCAACAGGACACGGCCCCAGCCAATTTTCTATTTCTGTTCATGGAATGGGACATAGTTTCAATCAGAAAAACAGGAGACCGCAGCGGGACGCAGGGTCAGGGCCCTAGAGGCCTCCATCACAAGCAGGCAGAATTTCAGTTTCACATTTCGCTCCAAACGAAGGTATGTCTGGAATCACCCCTGCACGCAGGCTCCCATCTTCAAGACAGCTGCCCTGTATCAGCTGCAAAATCTCTACAGTTTGTGACTGAACTGGATGGAAACAGGAACTTAAGTCACGGAATGAGCAAAATTGAGACCTCATATTGCTTCACAGCACTTCTAACTATGAACTCTCATTTGAGAAGTGTCCTATTTCAAACCAAAATAGGCTTCCATACACAGATGACCTTGCACCAGGGCAGCAAAATTTAAGTGACATTCAATTCAGTTATTTCCATC